TTCCTCAGCAGCATCTTGCTCTCTGGGAGCCAAGGGCAATGGGATGCCCTGGGGAGGGCACTTGGGTGGGAGGGATGCTCAGTCCTGCCAGCCCTTAGCTCACCCTCCCAATACCCAAGCTGAAATGGCTTCAATTAGGGATTGTGGTCAAGCATTTTAGCTAAAGCACCACAAATACCCATGGGGCTACTCTTTAAACAGCTTACCCAGCTTTAGCTTGCTTCGAAAAGGAATCAATTCTGGTCCAATCTTCTTTAAATTGGGTTTAATTGGAGTTAAGCAAGTCCGCACCGGGTTTAATTAAGACCAGTTTGAAACCAATTAGTCTAAAGGAGTGGAAGTCATGATTTATGCCAGGGGTGAAGTTCAGAGCTTCGTGGCCAAGGTAAGAAGAGCCAAGTTTGTGCTGGAATCTTCTAGCCTCCCCCCCTCTGGAACAAATTTAGGACACCTTGGCCACTGTAGGTCTGGAGACGGCTCAGCCCATCGAGCAGCCAGACAGTCTCAATGTTCCAGGCTGCTCCACAATATATATTTATAAGGGTCTTAATATAGATCCCTAATTGCCTGTCTCAGCTGATTTATGGCATGGGCACGTGAGCGATGGGAACGGCTCAGACCGCTGTTGAGTGCCTGGGGATGGACCAGGGCTGTCAGCAGGAGTTTTCATAGCTCGAGGTAGCACCCAGGGATGGGGGGATGGATGCTGGTGCTGGCTTAGGGGATCTAAGGAGCCCACTCGTGTCCCTTGCTCCACCCCAGGCTGCAGAGCTTGCCTTGGGATTTGTTAGGGATGCAGGAGGATGCTGTGGAAGTGAGAAGGGTCCAGGCTGGCTGGAGAGGGAAGATGTATTTCAGGCACGGAGCTGCAGTTTCCACCTCCCTTTCAGAGCCTGTTGCTACCAACTCTGGCTTCACTGCTCTGGTTTCACTACTCCTGCAGAGCCCAAACTTCCCACTTGTTCCTGTTACAGTGGATATCAGGATCAGGAGGCTATCCCCATCCCTGGAGGAGTTTCCAAGCTGTGGAGATGTGGTGCTGAGGGACATGGGCTAGTGGGGACTTGGCAGTGCTGGATTTGATGACCCTAAAGGTCTCTTCCAACCGAAACAATTCTAAAATTCCATCTGAGCTGAGTTTTGTCATTCCTCTGAGCTGGGATCTTTCTTCTTCCAGCTCCCTCCTCCATGCCAGAGAAAAACGAGGCAGCAGAGCCGTGCTGTGCCACCAGCCCTGCTCTGGGTACGTAACAGCCAATCTGGCAGGTTACAGATCTGCAAAGTCTCGCTTTGGGGGAAGGCGGAGAGGTGCAAGCTTCAATTAATTAAGCCACAGTTTTCATAACACTTCTCTCTGCTTGTCTCCCGTGCTTTGTGGAAACACTTGACGAGCTGAGCTGCTTCCTAGACATCCTGTAAACACAGAGCAAACGGGAAGCCTGGAGGTTTTGCAAGAGGGATGTTTTGCCTGCTTGGAAGAAGTCTCGCCCTTGGAAGCTCCAGCTGAGGTGTGGTTGAGCCTTTTGCAGCCTGGGAGGTTCCTCCAGGCTGGTTTCTCAGGCCCAGCATTGCCCCTGGAGAGAGCTGGCATGGTGTGCCGTGGTGGAAACCTTCCTTGGGGACACCAGGTGTAGCTGCTGGGTACCAAGTGGGCAAGGGATGGTGAACTGATCCCTTTGGGCTTCGGTCTCCATGCTGCCAGAGGCAAGGCTGATGGAGCAGCTCCCGGGGGGGTGCAGGCCATCATATCATGCTTTCCTCTCCTATAAAAAAAAAAAAGAAACAGGGCTAAGATTTGGGTTTGCCATCTCTGTGTCCCGAACCCTCCTTGCTCCCAGCTCGCTCACCCACTGCCCAGGTTGGACAAGGGGGTTGAAGGTTCAGGAGTGGAAGAAGGTGCCAGGACTGGAGGCTGGAGGTTGATCATCCTGCAGCTTGGAGCCAGGATCTGACCTCCAAGGAGGTTTTGGCTTTTGGATGCTCACCTGACCCAGCAGGTCCTTCCAAGCCTCTGGTCTGAGATGCAAGAGATGGAGGTCTAAAGATGCTTCTGCCTGGTCTCTCTTGCACCAGAATTTCCAACCACACAGCTCCTGGGCTTTGTCCTGTGCACGTTGCTGCTGGCACCCCAGCAACAGGAGCACTAGACCTTTCAGGGAGGAGAGAAGTTGCTGCCTTCTGTTTTTCCCTTGGGATGCGTTTTAGGATGTGCAATGGTTTGGGCTGTCACTGGAAGGCTTGTGAGGGGGTGGAAAGGTACAAAGCTGTGTGGAGAGGGCACTGGGCAGGAGCTGCTGTCTGTGCCTCTGCCAAGGGAGACCAGCCCCAGCAGCAGTGCTGCCCTTGATACTGTGATGGACAGAGAGATGGATTTTGGGGTCTTCAGAAGGGAGAAACTCCACGATCAGACCTTCTACTGGACAAGTTTTCTCCATTAAGGTCCAGAGGAAGCCACAGAAATGATCTAAGGGCTGATCCCTCTGCTGGGAGCCCAGCAGGAGAGAGCTGGGCTTGGGCAGCCTGCAGAGGAGAAGGCTCCAGCTGGGGAGACCTGCTGGGGACTTTTCAGAAAGCTGTGGACAGACTTTTGAGCAGGGCTTGTTGGGACAGGACAAGGGGGGATGGCTTGAAACTAGAAGAGGGAGAACTAGGCTCGAGAGAAGGAAGAAATATTTGACACTGAGGGTGGTGAGCCCCTGGCCCCGGCTGCCCAGAGAGGTGGTGGATGCCCCAGCCCTGGAACCATCCCAGGTGAGGTTGGCCAGGGCTCTGAGCAACCTGCTCTAGTTGCAGGCATCCCTGGATTGAACTAGATGACCTTGAGAGTTCCCTTCCCCCCAAACCAGTCTGAGATCCTGTGATTCTGTCACGATGCTGTGGCATTGCTAGCTGGTGGGGCTGAAGTCATGATGTCCTGCCTGCTGCTGGCTCTTGGGTTCCAGCCCAGCTCTGGCTTGTATCCCTCAGCATCCTTCCTGCAGCTTTGAAGGACAGTTTCCATCTGCTCTGGGCCTCCCCTCCCCACCTGTCCTTGCTTTTGGTCCTCTGCCTGTGGAGACGGGAGGCTGAGCTGCTCCCTGTCGCCGTGTCCACGCCGTGTCTCTCCCCAGCCCTCCTAGGAGCAGTGCTGAGCAGCTGAGGAGCCCACACGTGGGGCAGGGCCGGGTGCTCCCTTCCCTGCCCTGGAACAAACTCACCTTTGTCTGGGGGAGCATCGGCTCAGCTCCATCCCATTTATTTTTTTTTTTTATTCCACGGATCATCTTCCCCGCAGCTGAGGGGAAACACGATGCTGCAGGGAACAGTTGTGCTCTGGGCAGGACCTGCTTCAAAGCCTGGCTGGGGGTTTCAGATGTACCAAAGCGGGGGAACACGAGGAGACGCCGGGTTCTGGTCCAGATGACCTCGTCTTTCATTTTCCTTCCTCTTTGCCTGCATGGTGTGTTAGAGGCTAAATCCAAGCCCAGGGAAGCTGTCTCCTAGTGATCCAGGCAGGGTGGAAAACAGCTCCCTGGATTTTCCATCAGCTTTCCTGGGCTTGATTACATCTTTAATTGCCTGCCCCATGCTCTGCTGAGTCTCACTAGGAGCAGACAACACCCATAAATCAAAGTCTTCAGGTTTCCTTCGGCCATCTGATGAAAACACCCTTCTCAGGCTGGGGGGAACGACCTCGGGGCACTCGCGTGTGCTGGCTTCCCTCCGCACCGCCGTCAGACGTGGCCTTTCTGCAGGAGAGATGAAGGGAGAGGGTTCCCCTTCTTGCAAAGTCGCCTTTCAAAGCCTCTCTCCAAACATTTGCTTTCGGCATGCTAAATAAACCGTCTCCCCTGCAGCTTCCCTGTGGGAAAAGCAATCTTCACCTGCCAGCTCCCTGCACTTGGGGCTTTGAAGGAGTGATTTTTCTAACGCTCTCCACATACCCTGAGCTGAGAGATGCCCCTTTACCAGCATCCCCCTCCCCAGCTACCCACCCTTCAAATACTCAGAGCATGCACCTCACAGCCTGGAGCAGCATTTGCTGTTACACAAGCAATGGGAGCCCATCAGGAGTGAAACTATGACCCTGAGAGGTGCTGAGGAGGCTGCTGGCCACATGGCAGAGCCTGGGAGCAGAGCCTGGGAGCAGAGGTACCCAGCAGGTACTCTGGGAATCACAGACTCATGGAATCATTTTGGTTGGAAGAGACCTTGAAGGTCATCCAAGTCCAACCATCCCCCCCAGCACTGCCAGGTTCCCATGTCCCTCAGCACCACATCTCCACGGCTTGGAAACCCCTCCAGGGATGGGGACTCCACCACTGTCCTGGGCAGCTTAGGACAACCTTCTGGGGAAGGAGCAGGGATGCTCCAGGCTGGAGGGACTGTGGCTCCTTCGTTAGCCTCCCTTCCCAAACCTGCAGCTGCTTTCGGTAGAAAGAGTTTTTGCAAACAGATTAAAAAGAGAAAAACAAGCATGTTTTGGTACAACCTCTAAGCTCGGGGCTCTGCTGTAGTTTGAGCAGTACTTCATGGTAGCCCCAAGGCACCACGAGGCTCCTGCCTGGGGGAAGTCATGTCACCCGGGTGGTGACCCAGGGCTGAGCACATGTGGCTGCTGCTGCGTGCTCGGGGAATCTGTGGCACATGGACCTGGATGAAAGGCTCCTCAGCACACCAGAGTCTGGTTTTTGGGATGGGTGTACACGCAGTGTCCAAGGAGACTGGGTCTTCTCTTGAGCCAGAGCCTTGGTCTCCCTTCTATCAGCTGCTGAAGCTGAGCAGCTCTGGATGATCTCCCAAAAAGCCCATTTCACCCCCACGTGATGCTTCAAGGGCCAGGACCACCACGAGACGCTTTTCCCTGGGCTAGAGAGAGCTGCAGCAGGGCTGACTCTGCTTGGACCAAGCAGATGTGGTTATAGGAGGCTTGGAAATCTTGTTGTGCTCCAGCCCTCTGCTGAGTGCTGTGATTGTATTTTGGGTGTCCAGTCTTTGTTTGGCCACTGCTTGGGCACGAGGGTCTCACCTGTTCTAATTTTCTCCCCCCTTCCTCTGCCTCCCCAGGTACGAAAGGCTTGGAGTGCTCACCCTCCACCCCCATCATGAACTCCTACTTCTACAAGTTCATGATCAACCTCCTCAAGCGCTTCAGCAGCGAACGGAAACTCCTGGAGACCAGAGGAGCCTTCATCATCAGGTCAGAGCACCCCACCAGCTTTCCCAAAGCCCCCGAGCACTTCCTGGGTTGGGTGGGATGGGGATGAAAGGGTTGAGCCACCCAAGCACTGCGCTCCCTCAGAGCCAAAACCCATTTCTACGAGCCTCCCTTTCTTGCCAACAGATGGTTTAAGAGCAAACAGAACTTGCTTTTCACGTGTCAAGGCACCCTATTTCTCACTCCCATCCCCGGAGGCAAAGTAGCTCCTTATTAAATAGCTTTGTCAGGGCCCGTTTCGTTGAGAAACAACCAGACCAGCCAGAGCATGAAGAGAGGCTAGCACTCGGGGTGCCAGGTGGAGTGGATCCCTCTGCCCAGCTCGATGAGCCTCACCCCCGCCAGAGCTGCGTGGTTCGATGATCACAATTGGTAGGTTTTGGTTTGCCTTCTTTGGTTTGGGTTTTCCAGGAGCAGAGGCTGGCGAGCCAAGCAGCACGGGGGCTGGCAGGGCATCGTCCCTAATGCCACGAAATCTGGGGCAAGGGACACTGATTTCTGAGCTCGCTGGGAAATAATGGGCTTAGCAGGCGAGGTGAGGTGGAGAAATGAGTGAGGAGGTTGGTGGGAGGAGGGGGCAGGACCGTGGGTCGTCGTGCCTCGCGTACAGTGAGGTGGCAGCAAAAGGCACGCGGGGAGAGCAGGACACCCAAGCCACACTCCAGTGGGAGATGGCAGCGGGGTGCACAAGGTGCTGGTGGGGGTCCTGTCAATGAGGTGGGGAAAATAAAGCTCTCAAAGGCTGCTGAGCTGAGCCGGCTGTTGAGCTGTAGCTGCTCAGGCAGCAGTTTGTGCCCAGGTCTTCAGGCAGCCCAAGAACGTGCCAAAAAAGGCACCGCTGGATTTGTCCTGCGGGCGATGTCGAGATGAAGCGTGGTGGGTTGTGGTGTGACCTAGGGCTTCCAAAACGAGACAAAATGTGGGCAGGGCAGGGCTGCTGCAGCTGCTGGGGGGGCAGCACAATGATTTCAGAGTTTCCCCCCCTCGCTGGATATTAAAACATGGTGCTGTATCCCAAATACCCATTGAAAAATTATTTCCCCGAAAAAAAACCAATTTAATCTAGCTGAGCATGTGGGATTTTGCTTCGAATGGAAGCCTGGAAATGTTGGGTGTGATCATCTAAGAGGAGAGCAGAGCAGAGACAATATCCCGCTCGTGGTGTCCCCTCTCCTCTCCCGGGCCAGCACAGCCCCTGTGCTTGTTTGAGCCACCCTGTTCCTTGTTAAGGAGGCAATTAGAGGGATAATGAGCCCGGTCCCATTTAAAAGCTTTCCCATGTGGTGACCACCTCGGATTTTTCCCCGTGGCTCTGGCAGGATGAGCCTTAGCTTTCCCAGCAGCTGGTGGGACCGGCTTGCAGCAGCTCGGCAAGCCTAGGGCCTTTTGTGGTGACTCACGCCCCAAAAAATCCAGGAAAGGGGGAAAAAAAATTTATTACTGTGTCCTTTGTCGAGTCACGCTGTGGCTCACGTGGGCTGGACACGGGTCAGGAGCCAGTGGCTCTGGGAGGGGTGCGCTGTGCTCTCGGTTAACTCTGAAACCTACCGATGGCGGTTGAAGCGGCGGTGTTGACTACCACTCCCACAAAAAGCGAGGTGGGAATAGAGGAGGCAAAGTTTTACAGGGCTGTCTGGAAGGGATGGGTGTCTCACTGGAGAGACCCAGTGATCGTGGGAGCCTCATGGTGCTATTTTTAGCCGGTTTCCAAATGGAAGCCGTATGCGCGTTCCCACGTTCCATCCCGGCCCTGTCCAAGAGCCAGCTCGGCTGGTTCCCTCAGTGGGGTGAGAAGCCGGCCTCGTGTTTGGCTCAGGAGATGGTGGGGATGCTTCATCCTGGGCTGGAGAGCGTGAGGGGGGTGCTCAGAGGGCACCTCCCCCACCACGCCCTTGGTACCCGTCGTCTTCCTCTCCCCGCAGGGACGACCACTGCTCCTCCCTGCTGCTGCCTGGCCTGGGAATGGGAAAGCAGGGGAGAAAAAGCCCAGAATGCCTGCACGGCGGGGTTGGAGGGGACCTGTGGAGATCATCTCGTCCAACCCCCCTGCTCCAGCAGGTCACCCACAGCAGGGTGCCCAGGATGGTGTCCAGGTGGGTTTGCAATCTCTCCAGAGGAGGAGACTCCACAGTCTCTCTGGGCAGCCTGCTCTGGGCTCTGCCATCCTCACAGCAGAGAAGTTTCTCCTTCTGTTCAGATGGAACCTCCTGGGTTCCAATTTGTGCCCGTTGCCCCTTGTCCTGTCGCTGGGCACCACTGACAAGAGTCTGGCCCCAGCCTCTTGCCCCCCACCCTTCAGATCTTGGTCAGCATTGATCAGATCCCAGGCTTCTCTTCTCCAGTTTGAACAGCCCCAGGGCTCTCAGCCTTTCCTGACACAGAGATGCTCCAGCCCCTCAGCATCTTCACAGCCTCTTCTGGACTCTCTCCAGTTGCTCCTTGTCTCTCTGGAACTGGGGAGCCCAGCATTGGACCCAATACTCCAGAGATGGCCTCACTAGGGCAGAATAGAGGTAGAGGAGAACCTTCCTCGATGTGCTGGCCACACTCTTCTTCCTGCACTCCGGAAGATCCTTGGCCTTCTTGGCCCTGAGGGCCCATTGCTGGCTCATGGGCAACTTGATGTCCACCAACACTCCCAGGTCCTTCTTCGCAGAGTGAAAATAGGCCTGATCAGTTTAGGCAATGAGTTTAGGGTGAGTGCTCAGGAGACAGGAGAGTTGGGGACACTTTTTGAAGCACTTTTGCCTGTCTGTTGCCAGCAGGCAAGTTGGAAGGTCCATGAGGTCAGGCAGAGGGTCTGTGATTAAAGGTAGTTTATTTCTAACCCATCTCAAGCTTGTCCATGTCTGCTTGCTGACTCTGAAAGGACTTTGGTCTCTCTTCTGACACATCCTCCGCGTCCTGGAGGCAGAGGTTACAGATCGTCCTGTGCTTGAGAGCCTACAGCCGTGGTGAAACCATGCACCAGGCTGAGACCCCGCAGGAGGAGAAGGGGAGGGCAGCATCCAGGAAAAGGCTCTTCGAGGCTCTTCAGAGCTGCTTAGATGCCTCATCAACGCCTGGGAGAGAGTTCCTGTGGTACAAATCACCCAGAGTCCCACACTTTCAACCCCTCTCCCCTTGAGGAACCAGAGGGGTGATAAGCCTGCTCCCATGCTCCCTGCCAAGGCCTTTTTTTTGACTTGGGTTTCCTGTGCCACAGCAGACGGGAGGAGACTCCCTTTGGGGGTCAGTCTCTCTCTGTCACTTGTGACTTATTTTAGGCTGGAAGCCAATGAAGTTATTCCACCCTCAAAAGTCAGGATTCCAGGCACTGCCTTCTCCTCTTGAGCCAAGCACGTGTGCACTCCACGGGGGCTCCCAAAGCACCTTTGGTTGCAGGAGCATCTCCCAGTGTTACCTCTCACCTTGATGAGCAGACCCGAGACCTTCCAGCTTTCTCCCTCCTCGGGAGCAATCTGCCCCAGCTGGCACGTGGCCGCACTGGACTCAACGGAGCCCTTAAGCAAGAAGCAAATATTCACAAATCAGCCGCTAGCCTCCTGACGATGGCTTGGAGCAGCAGAAAAATGCAGAGGAGCTTCCAAAGCATCACATGGCTCCTTGGAGCCGTCCTCTGGGCGAGGACCCTGGCAAAGGAAAGCTGCTCAAGCTGCTCAGGAGGCAGCCAGTGGAGCAGCACTGAGCTCTTCAGCCCACGCTGAGATTTGCGGGCTGGATTTAACGCCTCCTTCTTGGTGCTGGGGCTGTGGGGTGGGGGGATTAAATCAAAAGCTAAACCCTACCCGCGGACATCAGCGTTGCTGCTCAAAGCACGGTGTGAGGACAGGGTTGGCTGCCCAAGCAGCTTGGTGTCCGTGGAAGGAGCCATCTTCTCCCCTCTCATCCCTCCCCAGGCCGGTTGTGCAGCCCCCCGGGCTCTGTCTGAGCTCCAGGAGCTGGTTTAGCTCCCTGAGTCAAGCCTAAGACCAAAACAGGTGGCTTTTTGCTGCTCCCTGAGATGCAGCAGCTCAGGAATTCATGGCTGAGGTACCTTGGGAACGAACCCTCTGGGGTTCTTGGTGTGCTTCAGCAGCTGGAGACATCACCCTGCGCATTGTGGACGGAGGCTTTGAAGTGTGGGGCTTAACTTTTAAGCACCCGAGGCACAAGAGGATGCCCTAGTGAGACCTTTGCTCCCTGACGGGGGCTTTGCACAGGGGTTTTCTCTGCCTGTTATATAGAGCCATTAAATAAACCTCCCCCCTGCCCAGCACCTTCTCATGGGGCATTTTCTGAGGTTTAAGCTGGGTGGGAGGGGTCCCGGGGTGACTTTTCAGCCACCTCCTGTGTGATGTACCTGTCAGCTGTTTGACTGGGATGGTTCTTGGATTCTTTTTGGGAGGAAGAGGATATGCTTGAACCCCGTGGGGGGTAGCCAGGAGGGTGGGCTGGTTCTGGAAGACACAGGCTGGAGCAGATAAGGTCATTCAACCCATTTATGGCATTAGCCAGGGAGCTGGAAAATCCCACGTCTCGTGATGGGGGCCACGGGTTTATGGCTCCTGCAGACGGCAAAAGTCCACCCGGCTGGAAATCCTGCCTGTTCCTTGAGGTCTCAAAGTCCTGCTGGGATGAGGCCAGCAGAGGGCTGGGCAGCAAGAAGGGCAGAGCTGGGGACAAACACCACCAGGTCACATTGAGGGCACGAAGGTGACACCCTTGGCATGGGGCCGGGGTGGCAGCTCCCCTCTTTCGTACCTCGACTGAGGCTGGGGCTGACCGTGCAACTCCTCTTTTTCCCCCAAAAATAGGCAGAAAGAAGCAAAGTGGGTTTGAACCTGCTAGCAGGGGCAAAGAATCAGAGAAAAAGGGGGAGCAGAGGGTCCCATGGAGCGTGGCCATGTGATGCACTTGGCAGGCAGGGAGGGGTGAGCGTGGAAAATCGCTCTCAGCTCAGCCTGCCTTGCTAGAGCCTTCCGAGGGCCACGTCCTCTGCC